AGAAAAAAATAAAGGCTATAAGCAAAACTTGCTACTACATTATCCTTTTATACCAGGAGTTAGAAAGGTCCAAACCCTATTATCATCTAATGCCTGCAATAGAAATAAATTAATCGTGTGGATCCCAACTAGCTGATGCTCATTCATCATCATGGTATTAAAGCCCTTAATTTCCTTTAAAGGGAAATGGTGGTCTAGGGAAAAGATTGTGTTACTGTATGTATAACATCCACACCTAACTTTTTTACATCCTCTTAGATTCTATGCCACTTTATCAGATTTCATACGAGAAATCACCGCCTAGCTTTAGTTTATCTTTGGTACCTGCAGTTAACATGGAATAGTTAGATCAGCAGGGATCCTGGTTTTCTGTTTAAAAATTGCGAATTCACCTATTAACCCCCCACCCCCCCCATACAGGTTTTTCCAGGATTAAAATAAAACACCACTGTATATATAGGTATCAGTTGAACACCATGTTTTATTGATATATTTACCATTATAAAGCAGCTTGGGAGCCTAAATACCTATACATTTTGGTGTTTGACTTTGGGTTGGTTTTTTTTACATCATGTAAAATCAGAGCTCCCCCTGCCTTCACTCACCAGGATGGGTCCAGCTGTGGTCGTCTTCCACTGCTTTGTGGTGCCAAGTAGCCCTGATATACTGGTGCCCTGCCCATGCCATTGCACTTCACTCCCCCGCACCAGCCTTGCTAGAAGGGGCCCCAGCTGCCAGGGCTATGGGGCCAGGAACCCGGGTCCACAGCAGTGCCCAAGCCCTGGCTGCCACCTGTGGGAGGCTGCAGCTGCTACACTGGCGGAGCAGAGTGTGGAGCCCAGCTCCTTCTCCCCCATGGGTGGTACAGCTGGAGTGGAGGGATGGGGTCAGTTGCAAGCCACCCACTGTGGGCTCAGGTGTGGGAACAGGACAGCTCCCCGCTGCTGCATGCACTCCTGGGCTAGGGCATGGGAGGCATATGCCCCCCAGATGTGTACAGGGCAGGTGTGGGCTGCAGGCTCTAGGCTTCCTGCTCTGCTGCCCTCCCCCAGGGTCTCCACAGCCCAGGAAGCAGGACCCAGCATGGCAGGGCAGAGCAGGGCTGGGCGCTGCAAGCCATGCACAGCCATGGTGAGGTGCCCTCAGCACCACCATCCCTACTGGGCTCCCAGTGGTGGTGGCATTGAACTTTCCCACTCCAACCTGCCTGGCCATGCCAGGCAGGCTTGCTGGGCCACAGGTCCTGGGGGAAGGACAGCAGGGCAGGGAGTCCAAGCCTGCAGCCCACCCAACCCCACACACAAGTCTGAGGGCATGTGCCTCCCATGCCCCTGTGGGAGTGCACACAGCAGCCAGGAGCCAGCCCCCTGCTCCTACCCCTCAGATGAGCTGCCCATGGCTCTGTCCTGCACCCTGCCCAGGGTCCTGTGGTGGCTGTACATCCCGGCCTCTGGGTCCCAAGCCCCAAACACTGCTAGACTAATATCATGTCCATTTGGTATCAGCCTCTTGTCAGCTCAGATCAAGAGTAGTCTATGCTTACCTGGCAAGGGAAACACTGACCATGGAGGTGGTCTTCCAAGTAGCACCTGTGGAAGACCATGCTCTTGGCACAGGGATAGTACCTGCCAAGGTAATGTACAGGAAACCTCCCACTTAGCTGCTGGAGTGGGGAGGTCTTGGCTTTAAGCTCACTTTATGGAAATGGGAGACTCCTTCCTGGCTTGTCCCTGGGCCCTTACAGCTGGGGGCAAGCAAAACTCCGGGGGGGGGGAACCAAACCCCAAGCCTTTGGGCTTGGGCCTGCAAGTAGCATACTCCACCAAAAGTTTTGGAAACATTTGTAGCCCTGGATAAGGGTGGAAGATATTTGCCAGTAGTAGGGCCACATATGGTTCTGGATTGACTCTTGGAATTGGAAGCTGTTTTAGCTAATTTGGCTTGGAATACAGAAAATTAAAAACAAAAAAAAATCCCAACCCCTCACTATAGAGGCCTCAGTTCCAGCCCCCACCCCCGCCAGACTTACCTGTGGGTAGCTGTTCTCCAGGCTGCCTGGCGGCCATATGCATGTGTACATGCACATGGCAGCCCTGACCAACTGCCTTCCTGCTCCTGCCAGCCTGCAAGGGAAAACTCACAATTTCCCAGTTTTTTCTCCATAAAATAAGAAAATTTGCATTTTACAATGGCAAATGGCAACACTGATCCCTGGTTAAGTCAGTACTGTGTTTGTTGACTTGAGTCAAAACAGAACTCCTCCCTTTTCCTTCCTTTCTTCCTCCCATCCCATCTGTTCTGTTATTATTCACCCAGTTACCAGTTAAAAAAAAAGTAAAAAAGTGTAATTGGTACAAATGTATATTAACTTTTGATAAGCCCGAAAATAATGTTTGCTTAATTCCTAATCAACTCAAGATATACTGAATTAAGCCCATCTTAAAAGTTGGGTCCATTTAACTTATTTTTAAACATGCAAAAAAAAGCTAACTGGCATCTTAAGGTAGAAGTCAGGAGCTTCTGCTGCACAAGGCAAATCTCCCCATGTATAAACCTATTACACGCAGTAAAGTTAAGTGGAATTTAATTTTTTAAATGCAATAAAAGTCCAGCAAAATTAAATGCAATTATAATAAGTCCAGCATAACTACTGCTTTTGCAGAATTGAAATGCTAACCCATAGCAGTGCTGTGGTGTATTGCAATGCTAAATGATTAACCTGAGACCAGACAGAGGACCTCTCCCCAACCCAGACTAAAAAAAAAACAAACAACAACATTCTGTAAGAATACTGGTGCTTCCTACTCTCCTCGTGTGTAAGAGGCACATATGATGAGCAGGGATCCTGGTTTTCCGATAAAAAGTCCCCTATTTTCAGGTTTAAAAAGTGACCCAAAATCCATATTTTTTCATGATTAAAATGAAACACCACTAATACATATACATACACGTGTGTGCGCATATACATGCATATGTCATTTCATTTTGTTCAAAGAAAAATGTGAACTTCGGGTAACTTTTAACACAGAAACTGGGATTTTTTTTTTTTTGAACAGAAAATCAGGATCCCCAATAATGAGGCAGATTCAACTATACCCATTTATATTTATATTACACTTTCCAAAGTACTTGGCACTTTGCAGAAGAAATCTGCTGTTAAAAGGATAATCTACACCGGGGTGGGCAAAATACGGCCATTCTATCCAGCCCACAGGGCCCCTAAAAAATTTAGAAAATTAACATTTATCTGCCCTGGGCTGCCTGTCATGCAGCCCTCAATGGCTTGCCAAAACTCAGTAAGCAGCGCTCTGCCCAAAATAATTGCCTGCCCCTGATCTACACCTTGGCAGACTTTGGATAAGAATGAAAGACGACTGGAAGATCTTCACAACACACACTAGCAATGCACCCACCAAATTTTGGTATTTTCTTGCATACAACACGTGCCTTTTCTCCTAAATCAGATTCCCCATCCCCTCCCCACCCCAGACTTTTGGGGTGTGTGGATTAAGCAGGGAAGATGATTTTCTGCTTTGGATAGAAGCACCCCACTTTGATTCCTGCTTCACAGTGCAGTAGCTGTGGTGTTACTTTGCTGACTGAGTTTATTGACTTAACAGATTTTCACTCTACAGGTGTTAACTAACCGTCTCTCCTTTTTAATGGTCTTGATGTTCCATTAATCAAGCTAACCTTTACTAGGGCAATTTTGCTGCCTGCTAGGTGTTCCTGGTTTCTCTCTTCCTATTTCATGTACCTGGAAACGTTTCAGATATCATAGATCCACTCATGGAGAACAGTCTTCAATAGTCATAGAATCACAGAATTATTCAAAATGAGGGCTGGAAGGGACCTTAGGTCATCTAGTTCAACCCCCTGCTCAAAGCAGGACCATCCCCAATGCCAAGGCTTTGTCTACTTGAGTTACAGCTTTAGTTAACTATCAAAGGGCAGGCAAATCAGCTGAAGATTAGGCTCTGTCCCTGCTTTATAGCCAGAATTCTCAGGAAAAAATTCTCTTCTCTTCTTACTGCCTTTCAAACACAAGGTGAATATTATATTTTGTGCTGTATACAAAAAGAATACACCATGTCCTACAGAAAATACTTTCAGATTGTACTCATTTCCTAGCATGCAAAAGGACAATGCAAACTTTACCCCAATTTTTTTTTTTTTTTAAAACAGTTGCTGACAGCTCTAAATCTGATGCAGAGCTGGAAGAAAAAAAAAAACAACTTTATCAGGAGGCCTTTTTAAGGGAATTTTATTTTTGAGCAGTTCTTACAAAGATTGTTGCAATATGAAAGTCATTTGTTTTGATAGAAATATTAAGCTGTCTTGTCAAACACACGGAAGTAACCCAAAATATATTTCAGAGCTCACAGAGCTTAAAAAGAGCAAAGATTATATGCAACCAGACAAAACATATTTCTGTATTTCCTACTTCTCTGAACATGTGCATACGATTTGCATGGAATTAAACTTATCTGGAAATTCAGAAATAGCTTTGTTTGGAACCTTAGACACACTGCACACAGTATTTACAAAGAAACTTACAGATACATTAATCAAAAGTTACCATCAAAAAACAAACCCCTTGAATCCTACTCTTATCAATTATTCAGCATAAAAGCAAGCTGAGTGGCTGAACAAAATCAGCTTTCAGTAGCCTTCTGAGTTTTCAATTTATACAAAACACTAAACATGTCCCTTCATAAATTCTATCTCTGATATTAACCTTTAGCAGAACACCTACGTTTACTGAAATGTAAAATGTAACTGTTGCATTAAAATAAAGGCTTGTGAAACTTGAAAAAATGTCATTATTTCCTATCTGCCTTTTCCAGAAAAATGTGTTTCTATGAGCTACTTTTCATTTCCTACAGATCAACTCAGAAAATTTACAGTTACAAGGCAGAACATGAAGTCAACAGCTTTGTATACAGTGGAAATGCTAGTTAGGGAAAATGAACACACGGCATTC